CATAACATATACACATAAAATAACATATACACGTACATATGTACACACATATATACATATATAGAGAGTTGGGCAAAGTAGGTTTACAGTTGTTTGTATGTAATTAATAAATAATAACAAGAATAAACTCTTTCACATACAACTGTAAACCGACTTTTGCCCCACCCTGTAGGTGTACAAACATATGCATACATTTTCCTGGGGGCTGCCTTAAAAAACACACTTAAAACGGTCCGTTATATTTTTGCTTCATTTGAAGCTACCATCACACCATGAGGGAAAAGGAGTCTCTCAAAGGTGGCTTTTTACAGTTATCTAACAGGGACCTTATAATATTTTATTAGAATGACAATATTATCCTTTCCCAGAGAATGTGCTAGCTCACCCAGGTGGGCCTTGTGGCCCCCTCACCCCCCCGTGTGGGACACAACACAGTAAACTAGCCAAGCACGCACTCATTAACTAGTTCATTCATGCAACAAATATTTAGGTGCTGGGAAAGCAATTATGAGAAAGTTGGCCACAGTCCCTGCTCTCTCCAAGCTGAGGCTGCCTAATGGTTGGGCAAGCTGTTACCCACGAAGCCTCCTGGGGTGCGGAGGAAGGAGTTCCTCCGAGCCAGCCCTGGGACAGCCGCTTCTCGTTGCTGACCGAAATCGCAGGGGAGCCACGCACGAAGCCCGGAATTCGATCTCTTTTGGATTCATGGATGGGCATGGATATATCACATGGCCCTAGTGAGTTGACATCAAAGTGTAAATAAAGGACACAACATCAAAATGTATGTAAGTACTAAAAATGTTAATCTGGCCTGGCCGATGTTGCTCAGTGGTTGAGCATTGACCTATGCACCAAGAGGTCACTGGATTCCCGGCCAGGGCACATGCTGGGGCTACAGGCTCAATCCCGGGGGGGGAGGGGGGAGCACGCAGGACGCAGCCAGTCGATGTTTCTGTCTCTTTCCCTCTTCCTTCCTCTCTGTCTAAAAAATCAATAATGATTAAAAAAAAAATTAACAAAAAAAGAAACCAAATGTCTTACTTAAAAAAAAAAGTTAATCTACCCAGGATCTCAAAGGATAAAAAGAAAGAGAAGTATTGTATTTGCTGAATTGTGTAAGCTGACAATTTACACACTTATTTTCCATTCAGCCAGTGGTGCTCTGAGCCCCACTAAGCGCCAGTCACTGGCATGCGGCCGAGTAGTCCTGCCCATGGCGCGTGCGTTCTGTTGGGGGCCTTTCCAGAAACACAGTAAAGAGGGAGACACGATGTAAGTGTGTTAGAGGATGTGGTAAGTGGAAAGGAGAGGAAAGTGAGGCGCGAAGAGGGGTAGGGCGAGGGACAGTGTGAGATTTTACGGGTCAGGGAGTCTCTGCGCTGTAACTTGTGAGTGAAGCTAGAGAAGTGAAGGAGTGACCCTGCAGGAACTAGGGAGGAGCCTGCCAGGCCGAAGAACCTGCAAGTGAGGAAGGAGCTCACTGCAGGTGACCAGCCGCTGGGGCCTGTGTTCCTGGGGTGTGACCGGAGGCAGGGAACTGGGGAGATGAGAAGGAGATGGGTGGGGATGTCCTGGGGACTCAGGGCACCGTGAGGATATGGGTGAGGGGGGAAACCACTGGAGGGTTTTGAGCAGAGCTGTGCTGAGGTTCCACTTAAGTCTGAACAGGTAACACTATTCAGACTTGAGCGGGGAAGCGGGAAGCCCAGGTGGGAGGCGTTGGGGATGAGCCAGCCAGGGGAGGGTGGGCTGGCACCGGGCGTAGCTGGGGGAGGGTGGGAAGTGATGGGATTCCAGGCGCTTTCTGAAGGTGGGACTAGCAGAAGTGGCGATGCACCAAACGTGAGACGACTCAGGTGAAGGAGCTGGCGTGGAGGGGCAGCCGGGACTTAGTTTCTGGCATGTAACGTTAGGCCCAAGCGGAGATTTCAGGTAGATTTGGACACGAGGATACGTCTGGAAATAATAACAGCCGCCACTTAACTCTTTTGGACTTCTTTTGTGCCAAGTACTTTCCCAAGTCTTTTGTCATTATGAACCTAATCCCCTTATGAGGTGGGTACTATTTTTAGCCCCATTTTACAGGTGAAAAAACAGAAGAACAAATGGACTAAGTAACTTGCCCCAGGCTGTAGGGCTGGATCCAGGATCCTTGCTCATAGGAGAGGCAGAGGCAGATTTCTCTCTTCCCTCACTTTTTCCCTCGAGGGATGGATGGGGCTGGGAAGCACTGGGACGAGGGCTACCTGCCGCTCTCTGGCCCGGCTGTCAGAGGCCTGGCCCCTGGGAGAAAGGTTCAGGCTCAGTGCTTCAACTAACTTCATGGCCTGAGGGTACTCAATTCAGAACCTAAATAAAATGATTCATCCAAGATTTCTAAGTGGGTAATTAAAGTATATTAGACCAAATGAGACAGTTTGTGAGATGTAGGGACTTCGCCTCTCCCAGCTGCATTATTCTTTGTTTTTCTTTCAAGGGAAATATTAAAATTTTATCTAAGAAATGTAAAGAGCTGATGTGAAAATATAAATAATTAAAATAGCTTTCTTTTTAAGTCATTGGGGTCTTTTGATATGTGGTTTTAATAAGCCTTCACTATTTTAAGGAACATATTTTAAATGTATATATTAAATTTTTATTTTTTAATAAAAGGAACATATTTTAAATGTATGTTAAATTATAAAGAATAATAACACAACCCATCACCCACCCTAATAAATAGGATTCTGTCATAACCCAGAAGCCCTTGGGTTTCCCTACTGATCACTCCTTCCAGATATCCCCTTCCTTCCCTCGGAGTCACCACTTTTTTGGGTTTTGTGATAGTAATTGCACTACTTAAGATTCTTAACAGCTATCCTATCTACACATGCATTTGGAATGATATGACTGAATTTTACCTGTTTTTGAACTTTATATAAATGGAATAATACTGTATGTATTATTTCATGGCTTGCTCTTTTAACACAACATTCTGTGAGGTTTTTTTCCATGTTTTTACTTGTAGGGATAGTTCCTTTAGTTTTTATTGCTGTGAATGGCATTATATTAACGTACCACAATTCATTTATCAATTATATTGTTGATGGATATTTGAGTTGTTTCTACTTTTTGGGAATTAAGAATGTGCTTCTATGAGCATTCCTTTTGTTTTTTTTCTGGAAAGATTCTAAACATAAATCCTAGTGAACATGCATAAGTGGTTCTGTTGTATAAAAAAGTCAGAGGGGAATTACTGTGCCGTAGGATGTGTTTATCTTCATCTTTATCAGATAACACCAATTTGCTCTCTTATTAGCCACATATGTAAAAGAGGCTGCGGCACACTTGGGATTGCCATTTCTATCTTTGTCCTGTGGAGGTAGGGAGAACAGGAAACGGAGAGAGTAATGGTATTTCATGTGGTTTTAATTTGCATTTCTTACATTACTAATGATGTTAAGCATCTCTTTTTGTTTTCATTTGGAGTTTTCCTTTCATAAAATGCCTGTTCAAGTTTATTCTTGTTGCGATCTCTCCCTTTCTTCTAGCTGATTTCTAGGAGTTTCTTGTGGATTTGATATATGGTGGATATTACCTTCTACCCTGCGGATGGTCTTTTCACTCTCTTTATGGTCCCTTTTGGCGAAAGGAAGTTCTTAATTTCAATGACATGAAATTTATTTATTTTTTATGCTTAGTGCTTTCTGTGCCTTGGTAAAGAAGATCTTTCCCTATCCTGAAGTCATGAGCATATTTAGCTATACGACTTGTAAAATATTTCACACCCTGTGAGGTTACTTTCCATAGAACCCCCTTTTTCCATCCACAGTGATGCTGGACCATGACAGAGGGAAGACCTATGTGTCTTATAAATGCCCGAGAGAATATGGAATGAAAATTCTCTGTAGTTTTATACTACAGAGTAATAGTTGTGCCACAACTATTACTATTTAATCTTTCTCCCCTCTTAAATCTCAGTTTTCTCTTCCTATTTCTTAACCCAACTCTATAGTTTTCCTTCTCCAGCCAGGAGAACTGAGTCAGTCTCCTTGGGTCAGCGAGTTCACCTCTGAGTCTCCTTCCTGCCCTGTAAACTAAGACCACTGCCTGTCTCTCAGGATGAATGGGTGGGGTGAGGTAACACTTGTAAAGGTATCTGACATTTCATGGGTATTTACTGATAAACCTTAGTTTCTCTCTTTTTTAATCTTCCTTTTTCAGCACTTGTTTTCAGTAAATTTGCAATAAGATTCTTATGCAGCGCCGTGGAAAAACCTTGTGGAAGGCAATGAATGAACTGGACAAACTGCAAACATTAGAAAACTTGACTTAAAAAAGAGAAACTTTCTGAAGTGATTTTGAAAGGCTGAATTTGGTGCTCAGGGTTAAGGAGTTAAAGCCAAACCCTTTGCATTTTCCCCTCAGAGATGTTTTCCATTGTATCACAGGTCAGCAGCCCTGGTAAATGCCCAACGGCACATGTAACATTGTGCAGCACCTCCAGTTACGGTGCAACTCAAGGTGTGCAGAGGCATGTCCCATGCACGTGCAAATACATCTGTATTCACATATCCACTCTTATCCCTTAACCTGATGCAGACCTACTTTTACAGTGTAAATTGGTGAGTTTTCTTGAGATTGTTGGCCTGCCACTAGCAGTGGAGGAAATGGAGGGTCAGGGTGAAACTGTAAGACTTGTGTAGTTTGGGTTTGAATGAAGCTGAAATCTAAGTTTAGAAATAAAAGTAGACCCTAATGTCATCAATATTCTTTAGTAAGATTTTATGTTTTGATTTGAGGGTCATGAGTCCTCAGCTGTACTGATTTTGACGCTGACTCACGGTGGGGTCTCGGTTGGCTGCTTTTCCCTGTTGTGTATCATGAGGGGTAGTTCTACATACTTCCTTGCCCTTGAGATTTCATAGGGTCTGAGCAACGTCAAAGTAAGACAAGCTCTGAAGGTAAACAAAAATACAACTATTTATAGTGTATGCTTTTGGTTTGTGGTCTGCCCCCAGGCCTACCATTGACCATGCCCTGCTGGACGTGCCCTTCCTTCAACTCGCTGGGGAGATGCCCTCTGACCTCCGAGAGCAGCTGGACCACGCACTCTGAAGACACCAGCAGTCCTAGTTGTGGCCCCTCGTACACAGACCTGCAGCTCATCAACGCGGAGGAGCAGATGAGCGGCCGGGCTTCTGGGGCTGACTCGACGGGTAAGACGGAGCTCCAAGCCAGAGGGCTCTGCAGATCACTCCTGGTGACCTGTTGCCGCTCTTCAAATCTCTGAGGCCAGCTTTGTTTGCATGAGTTCAGATTTAGCCGTCCAGACTCCCGAGTGCTTCAAAGTTGTGTTAAGAAAAAAACATACACAGATTGGCTGATTGGCTGGGAGATGGTCAATATTGGGAAACCATTTGACACTGTGTCTTAATGTGTTATTTTCTGACGGTTTGGTACACAGACCGTTCCCTGCCAATTGCGCTTCTCCTTGGATAACAACTATATGTTATATGCACCAGGCTGACTCTGTCATCCGACCACCCACACATCTTCTCTCCTCCCCAAGAGGGAGGTGGATTTAAGTAGAGAAAAAGTGCACGTCATGTGAAGCAGAGTGAGAATCGGGGCTCAGCCACTGTGTCTAGACGGGTCCGTTGCAGTCGCGCTTGTTCTCTGGCGCCTGAACTGAGCTGCGTGCATCAGTGCGCAGCACCCCCGGCCTCATTGATTACATTTCCAGGAGGGGTGGGGTGGACGGCCGGCTGGCTCTGGGCGGAATACACGCCTGTCAGCAGGCACCGTGCTGTGTGTGAGGGTTAGGACGGCATTGGAAGGATGCTGTGTGTTCTTGGTGTTTTGGTTGTTGGGCCCAAGAGATTATTTTCCTCTGAAGGTGTTGGAGTTACTGGTAGTTTATCTGTGCGTGAAATTACCCAGTGTGTCCAATAATATTTGTTTTTCCTTCTCAGATGTTGTTTAGGAATTTGTCCCTGGATCATTTATCAGACTTGGGTATCATTCGCCCTCATGCTGTGTGCTGTGGGGGTTCTACAAGGAGAAAGTGTTAAAACAGGATTTGGTTTGGTATTTGATAATATTGCAGGGGGTTCTAGTTGATCACAGTTTCTCTCTCTGTCTTCATAAGCTACGGTTCTTTCTGGCATTTTGTTTTCACAGATGCTCTCTCAATTCTGGTTGATCCCTGTGGCTGATGATCCTGTCAGCGGCTGAAATTTGCTCCCCACGCCCCCATCTCCACGTGGGGGGCATTTCATGGGTGGGAGGGCACTGTCAGGAGCTGAGGCTGTGCTGGTCTCCTTCACCTCTCCTTGCTCTCAGCCCGCTTCCCAAGCCTTCCCGGGGAGCACGCAGACGATGGGTTGGTTAAGGGCACGCAGGCTCTGGAGTGATCACCAAGGATGCAGTTTCTTCCCCCGCCTGCCCCAGGGATCTTACTACTTTAGAGAGGTGGCAGATGGGCTCCTCGCCGCAGGAAAAGTCAGGCTGTCTTGGTTCAGGCTCTGTTTTCAGTGGCCTCTCTACTTAGGTGAAAATTGCCTTAATTCCTGGAGGTGCCAGTGATGAATGTCAGGGCCCTAGCCTGGACTGGACATTGTTACTCTGTCTCCAAAGCTTTAATTGTCTCCCATTACTTTTAGTCTCTTTTCTAACAGCGCTGCAGTTGGCACTGAGAAAGCCTCCTCCCTGCTGTCTCAGTGAGGGTCCTGGCAGGAAGCAGCTGGGACCCTCCGAGGGGTTTATCTGAAAAGAGCATAATGAGAGGACGGCCCACAGAGGCAGCGGGAGCTGGACTCACGGGAGAGGGGCTGCCCCACAGGCTCCGGTGGTAGCAGGGACACAGCCGCCGCCGGAGGCTTGGCAAAGTGGGGAGAGTCTGTGGAGGGTTAAGAATCTTGCCTAAGAGAACTCGACAGACATGGACGAACCTGGATTTCACTCCAAGTTCCCGAGCCTGGTGGTGTCCCCAGAGTCATCATGGTTATCAGTTTCCTGTGTTAACTCCCAGACCTTCCACATAGATAGGTATAGAGGGGGTGTGTGTGTGTGTATTGTTGTTGCCTTGGGGATTATTTTTAACCTAAATAGGATCAAAGGGATTTTAAATAGATGAGTAGCAGGAAAGTTTGAGGAGTAAGCTGATGTTTCCTTATCAGATATGAGTGTTTACAGATAACTGCTCGGTGCCCACTGTATTGTGTCATGTAAACAAGTTTCTAGACATGCGTCGTGGAATGAAATTCCCTAATTCTTCAGTAAGGCAAGGGTCCAGGTGGGCCCAGGTGCTAGGGAGGCCTCCATCTGCTCATGATGGAACAGTCATCCTTTGAATCTCGTTTCCGCCTGCTCTTCCAGGCCCAGGGGTGGCCAGTGGTGTGCTCCAGGGCCCTGGGAAAGTGAGAGGCCATGAGGTGCGTGGCTCGGAGAGAGCCCTCCCGGGCCGTCTGGACAGTCTGGATGCAGCCCCAGCTGTGGGAACCCAGTGAGGCTCTTCCTGAGCATCCTGACCTGTGCGATCAGGGTGGAGCGCTGGCTTTGAAAAGCCTGTAACTCATCCTGTGTCCCAGGATAGAACACAGTTTAGGAGAGTGACCTCGTGCCTCTAAACCTCTGGCATTTATTCACCTACCCCAGGGGAGGGGATTCATAAATGCTTTCAGTTGAGGTACTGAGAGCTTCAGAGAAACCCGGCTTCAGGCCTGTGGCAGTGGCCAGGCTCCGGGAGAGCCATCCTTCGAGGCGGGAGGGCTCGGTCAGGGTACACTGCACCCCTGTGGGGCTGTGGAGCAGATTCTCATCTGTCTCTGTCTCCTCCAGGCACATCATCTCCCCAGAGCTTCCCTTCCTCCTCTGGGAGATGGGGCTGGGTGTCCCTGTCCAGGTTGGGTGACATGAGTGTGTGAAGGTGCTTCATACAGTGCAAAGTGCTGTAGGACTAAAAGAAAATTCCCAATTGAATAGCTCTGGGCTTCGTTACCCTCTGATATGGGAAAGGAAGATAGTTGCTGTCTACTCCTTTTTTGCCCCAACCAGCACTGTCAGGGAAACACATGGTGGGATGGGGTACCAGAAGGGCTTTGCAGTTCCCAGCTGAGAGCCACAGGTAAATGCAGAGGCCTGCAGGGGCTTTGGTGTGATTGGTTTTTGTGCTGACAGCTTGGGGGGCCCATGGGGGAGTTGCCTTGGGGAGACTGTTTTCATTTATCTGCCCCTACCCCCATGCCTTGCGGAGGGAAGTAGGGGGTGCAGAGTTGCTCCCTCAGCCCAGCTGTCCCAGGCTTTCCCTGGCAGCGATGTGTGTGAGGGAGCCCCTGGGACAGGTGACCCGAGATTCATCTCCGTGCGGAGCGGGATTACGGAGGCCCCGCCGGCCTGTTTACCTTGGGCCCTTGCTCTGCACTATTGCAAGGCACGGGACCTGGGAGCCGCAGCTCCTCCCTGAAATTGAGGCAGGAGATCTGCAGGGAGTTGGCAGCCCCACACGGCCATCCCGATTCCCAGCATAATTGTGGAGGGAAAGACTGTGATCAGCCCACACTTTTTTCTCATTTGCTCACCAAGGGGGTAATTAGGAGGAAGGCAAACAAATCCTTGCACCTTGGCTAAGTCACAGGATGTGGGGCTGAGCTGGGAGCAAATGGCGGGAGGTCTGGGAGTAAGCAAGGTTGCTGATAACACCCACTTCCTCTCTCTCCCCTGCCTCCCCAGGGTCCCCTTTCCCTAGATGACAGGCACTCCCTGTCATCTTCACAGTCAGAGTAGCTCTGTAATGCCACTAGTTTCATACAGTGGAAAAACAGACAGGATCGAGGGAATGAAACAAGCCTTCCGCCTTTGAAGCCCGTTGCAGCCAGGAAAGAGCCCAGAAATGTTTGCAGTAGCACAAGCTGCTGTGAAGTGGGAGCTTCCATTCTGGCTTGGTTTTTTAAGCACGAGTGTAGATGTCAGTGTGGGACTAGAATGCTCGGGTATATGCAGTGGTGAGGAACGACAGGCCTGGGTGAAGCACAGAGCAGGTGTAATCGTGTCTGGTGGATGGGTCCATGAATGAACAGAGTGGAGCTGCAGGTGGTGAGTCATCTGCATCGCAGACATCTGTGTTTGGGTTTAGAGTCCAGCGTTTTTCCCAAGTGTGTCCTATGGAGCCACCCAAGGGAAACCAGGATGCTGGGGCCAGTGCATTAGGTCCTGGTGTGTCCCCTCTGTTGGAGATTCATAGCATCTATTAGCTTATTAAAGACTTTGAAAAGTCCTGAAATTATATGTATGTATATGTATAATTTATACTCATGTGTGTATATATGTATGTGTATATATGTAAATTTACCTATATATACATATATATATACATATATAGGTAAATTTAGTCTTTCTTTAACCCATACTGTCTACCTGGTCACTTGGTACAGAAACCCAAACACACATCAATTGGCAGAGTTCACCTGGAAGGGCAGGCCATTGCTAAAGTGTTGGGAAACCAAAAAAAATATTTTGCCGCACTCGCCTGGATTTACAAAGTTAGCCTTACTTTGTCTCAGGCTCTGTTATACCTTTTGGCCTTTTATTTTTTTAATTCTAGATTCAGCAGGACTAAGACTACATTTTCCCAAACTTACTTTGTATTTAAACCCTCAGGGGCTTGAAAACAAATATAGATCAGATGTTCTCAATTCATTTGCATTTAACTGGTCACAGTGGAATTCTGCCAGAGCAGTAGAATATGCCCAGGGATTTTGGACTCATTTTTTCCCGCAGAAACAAGTGTTTATGCTGTGGACTCGAGATCCCAATTTTTGTAAGAACTTTTTAGATGCTCAGATGGTTTCCCCTGTCATTGCTGGTTAAGGGTAATGATATGAGAGTATCGGCCGGCTACACGCCTCTTTACAAGGTGTAACACATGTTACATGTGCATCTGCTGTCCTGTCATAATCCTACAGCAGCTGCAAGAGCATTAGACCAGACTCCAGGGCCCAGATTCCCAGTAAACTGTAGTTATCACATGCAGGATGGGTTACAGGGGATTCTTGTTGTTCTTAAGGCACATTTGTATTTTATGATCATTTTTACCTTTGACTATATTTTGCTTGGGAGACAAAAATAAGTTAATTATTTAAAAAATTCTTTCCCCAGCTACACCCCTGAGTAGGTTCTCTCCTGAGTTTTACTCTAGGTCACGGTCCCTGTACCACCA